TCAGGTACATGAATGACACGATAAATGAGATTGTATTCAAGTAGAATTTAAGGAATTTTTTCTAAGTAATAATTCGAGCTAATAGCTTCTATTGTGATTATCAATATGCATAGATTCGTTACCTGTGCTACTTAGTGTGTCCAATTTTTTCGTGGTCATTTACGTGTATCATTTCTTCTTCAAAACTACGATACTTTGATTGTTCACGGTAGTGTTTGCAGGTTAGAGTTAACAAATTTGGCGATTGACTGTATCCTTGTCTATATGTAGTACTTTATTAGCGTTGGTTTTGGGTTTTTATAGTAGGATGGTGCCGGAGAAACCTCATGAGTTCTCAAGACTCATCTTATTTAAATTTTTGCCGGATCTCTCAGTTAAACGCATGGAAGGTTTTGTTACAGCGTCAACGAATCAGGAACATTTGTGTTTGCAGCGAGGTAACTAAAATTTTGATAAGAGGTTGATTTCTTTCTTTGTCTCGTATAGGTACGAGTGAGTTGCAGAGGTATCCCTTTCGACAGTTACAGTATTCTTCACTGAATGAACGCTGTACCATAATCAAACCCGAAGGTGTCGAAAACGCGATGATTCTGCAGTTTCCCTCGCAATCAGGTAACGCACTGCTGGTCTATACTTGTCCCTTTGCTTGCGATATTGTTTCCATCCGATTTTCGTTAAGAAATTGTTTTTCTCTCTACATAAAGTACTTCTCTGCCGGGAACTTTCCTCCAGTTCGACTGCTTTTTGCAGTTTTCTTCTGCACTAAGCGACGTATGTGGGAAGTTTCCTCTGAGCTAGACTCGTGTTTCTTGAAAAGCGTAAAATAGTACCGCGAATTTCTTCGACGTTTTTGAATTAAGTATTAAAACGGTGTTGCAAAGCGTAGGACGCTGAAATTGTGCGTACTCCTTATGTAGACAGCCAAATGGCATAAGATCGGATAAAATTACTTGATCGAAATAACAAGTTTGTTGCGAGAAATCTACTTAGTTCATCAACAGAGTACGCGATTTCATGTATAACTGGATCGGCTGTGAGGAATACCGTGGTCATCCATTTTCAGTTCTCTGGTGCTTATTTTAATCAAAAATAAGATAGCAACATTCAACTATTTCTGATTTATTAATTTAGATTAGATTAAAATTACTTACTTAGATAACTGTTGGTATCATCTCAAAGTGGTATTTTCATGCTGATGAGTTAAACAGCAACTCTGAACAAACTTTATTTAAAAAAGCACCTTTATCGATGTGATCGTTGTGACGTGAATCTTGTACCAGATTTTTCGGTTCTTCTGAATCTTTGAGAGTCCTGCAGAAGAAAGGCTAAACTGATCTTTGGTGCAGTTCTGTTCGTGCGTGGATAGCAGTTTGAGCTTCTAGTTCCTTCTGATGAGTATAGTCATAAATCCACTTTTCTTATTATTGTTGCCATTATCATGGTTTGTGAAATTGAGCTTTTCTGTGTTTGTTTTTAAAACTAACAGGTTCATTGCCATTTCTCTGTGCTGTGATGGATTTCTGAATTTTAGAAAATGCAGTTTTCCTCACTCAGTTGAAAGAGTTCAACAAAAATGAGTCGTCGAAATCCGTTTTCGACAGACGTACTGAAGAATCATCAGCTGCGCAGTATTTCCAGGTATTGTATTTCTGGGATATTTTATAATTCTTACTTTTTTGTTACTTCTGGCGGCTGTGGTCAGTGAACATGACACTTAATATTTTAATACAGTGTTAACTTAGGATAGTTTTTAATATAATGATTCTAATTACAGCCATATTAGTGACCGCTGAAGTAAATTAGACTGGAGGGACGGTACTTGCAGGACTGACTCTTCTCTTCCCGAAATCACATGTAACGCTGTCAAGGTAAAAATTTACATCGATCGTTAAGGTATATTTAGCACATTATTTATCGTCCCTGGGTATCCACAATATATTGCTTCTCCGATTAGCGAAAGTATGAAACAGTTCGAAATACTTATTAAAATCCGTATCCTTGCCATTATAGTCAGAATAAGAAACTGCTTCTCTGAATTGTCTCAACTTCCACGATGGACCATTTAAAGTATAAACTGTCAAATCGTGATGAGAATAATGGTCAAGTCATGTCTGATAACGGTGCAGAATCAAAACCTGACTAATGCAGTGTAAGCTAATAATAGTTAGCATTAAGGAAATAAGGAAATCTTTAAAAGTGTAAAAAATGTTTTTCCTTCGAAGCAGAAAAGCTTACTAGAAAACATAGAACAGTCGCAAAAAACGGTCAGATTTCGACTGAACCTAGCTACCTTCATCAAATAAAATGACGTGATTCACTTCGTGGACGCGATGTGTGATCGCACAGACACCACGGCGACGATGTCAGTCAAATTATTTTAGCTGGTTATGGCCGGTAGGTCCAGTCGGAACCTGGTCCGAGTTGGGTTGCGTGAATCTGTAAGTAAACTTTTTTCTTTCATTATCTTAACCACGTATTCGTTCGTTACGCTTTCTCGGACTTTGAAAAGTTTTATTTAAAGATAAGACGTAAACTTTGCATAATAATTAAAGGGTCAGTTTTACTAATTATGATCGAGACAACAGTTCTTTTTTAGTATGTTTCGATAAGTTAAATGCGACAGTGGGAAAGTTTTTGACGACAAGCATAATTTACATTTCTCAGCTATCGATGTCAATTTATTATTCCAGCACCTTCAATAAAACATTAAAAATGAGTGAGATATGGTATAAAGCGGTTTCTTTAAACACAACCCAACATCGATCGTGTGATAGATGCTTCAACTCGTATCTCAATGACTTTCAGCATGACGCTGGATGTGTTGAACTGGTTGCCCGCAGCAGCTGGTTCGTTTCGAGCGATAAGTCTACGAATCAGCTGCTGTGGACAACGTCAAATCCGGCCAAACACCGCCGTCTTTACCTTGAAGAAGACCGTAGTATACGTTCGAAACGTCGGTAGGCCAGCTGATTTACATTATGTTTAAACTGTTTTTATGCTGTATGATAATGTAACTGCCGACGCATTGCGAGCAAACCCTCTTGGAGGGAATCATAATTAGTAGCTTATTTGAATGGCTATAAATTC